AAAACTGAAACCAAATTATTAAAACTAAACTTGCGGGACTTTATTTATGTCCTGTGGCAAAATTATTTTTATTATACTTTAAGTTATCTGCTTGAAGTAGGCTAGGTCACATTTATCAATGGTAAGTTTTAGTCTAAGTTTACATCAATAACAATGTGCATTGTCCTTTACCATACAAAAAAGGAAGAAAAAACATTATTATACACCATAGTAGCCGCAAATCTTTTTAAATGCATTAAAAAAGCAAGCACATATCTTAGCCTTACCTTGAGTTTGTTCACATTCTGCCAGTATTAACATACATGCTGTATTTTATTACAGTTCATTTTGATGAATTAGGTCTAACTGACAGCTTTTTCTTCTTTTTTCGCGGTTATGCGGCATTATATTTCACACGCATATGCAAGGTGACTGAAATTGAAATTAAAATACCAAACATACTGAGCCATTAATTAAAAAACAAAACAACAGTTATAGCTTCTTTAAAGGAGAACATTGACGTTTTGAAAAAAAAAAAAAAACTGAACTGAAACTAAATTATTAAAGATAAACCTGCCAGACTTAATTTATGTTATGTCCTGCGGCAAAATTTGTTTTATTACACTTTCAGTGATCTCCTTAAGGTAGGTCAATTTATTTATTTATTTATTTATTTGCTTTTGATGAAGCAGCATTCAACTTAAGCTCTTTAGACCATGCCCCTGACCGTTTCTCAGTGTTTCGCCGCAATATCTTTAAATAAATAATTTATTTAGGCCTAATTTCATTATTAATTAGTTTTCATTATTCGTTTATTATTATGTACAATTGTTGAGACATAAAATAAGATAGTAAAATATAATCAACAACGAAAATTAAAACAAAAACAGAAATAAAAAAATAAATGAAAATGTCTTGTCTTAGTCCTATCAAAATAGCAAACACTGAACATCTCTCTATATTTAGGCTAAAAGACTGCTTTATTTATTTATTTAAGACTACTTATTTGTACTGAATGTTTGTGCTTTCATGTTAGTTGTCTTTTATTTCTTCAATTCTATTTTCCAAAACTAGTCCTCTTTGCACTTAAAAAGTTTACAATAAAGTGTGTTAACAAATTTTAAATGATTAATGAAGGAATTATAATGCTTTGACTTATTGTTTAATCTCATTTACAAGCACAGTAGCATATTTAAAGCTGCTGTAAAGGCTATTTCTGTCCGTTCGCATCCCGTCCCTTTGCGCCCCCTGGCGGCTCATTCACAAGCTGCTGTCATATACTAAAAACAGAGCGGCCGTTATTTCAAACGGCGGCGGTATAAGACGCGGCGGTAATAGTCACTTTGAACTCTCACCTACTGTAAGCACCACAGCTCAATGTGCATTAACCACAACACACCACTGACGCATCTATTCCAACAAACAAACCCAGGGTTTCGAGAAGAATCTCAATACGGGACGGCACAATGATAGCGACGTCTGCCTTGAGAACAGAGACAGACCTGAGACGCACAGCAGTGCAGAGACCAATGTGATCAAAGACACACACACGAGAATGTTCAGAGCCGCTGACAGACAGACAAGCAGAGAACAGCGCTCAGAAAACTGCAGATTTAATCAAAGAGAGCTGAATTAAACCTGACAGGTCAACATATAACCAGGGGAAAAGAAACGTTTGAGGAGAAACATAATATAAGAGGAGCTGAAGGAGAAAAGAATCTGTTAAGCTACAGTATAACAGCAACAAGAAACTCCCTTCGCAATTCATTTTAACACTGCGATATAACGAGCAAAATAAAATTAGGGAAGAACTTTGACAAAAAGTTCACAAAATCAAAAGGAATGAATATTTAGATTTTTTGAATCTGAATATTTATGTGCAAAAACTTACAGCATACACTCAAAACATTACTTTTGCTGCTCGTTCAAACTACTTCTTTAATATGAGCTGAACCAACATTTTGTTTGGGACAGTTTAATTATTTTATTTTCAATCCACTTAAATTTGTAAATACAATTACTGTAAGTTAACTTAATTGATTTGTGTTGGGACAACATAAAAGAAATGTGTGGAGCCCTGCATTTTTACAGTGTAGGGCTGCACGATACACTGCAAAAAGCAGTTAATTAACTTTACTTTAAAAAGAGAGTATCTTGTTGCCTTATTATTATTATAAAAGTTAAATAAAAAAGTTTAGTTAAGTGTTTGCGGAGTGTAATCGACTTGTTACTTTTTAGGCAACGGGTTTACTCACTTTTTTAAAGTAAAGTAACTAATTGCTTTTTACAGTGCACTTGAAAAATATACCATGTTGTTGTTGACACCATCGTCTGAGCTTTTTCAGTGGCATAATAATCTTAATGTATGTAATTTTGATTTTCAAGGAAAATTATAACAATTTCTCAAAAAATATCTCCCTCATTATACTGCTATTAAGCATAACAGAAACAAATTTGATAATCTGAACTTACCTAAAAGAGAAAAAGTTTAGTCACATTAATTTTTTTTTTTTAATGGTTTTGTGCCTTTTTATACAGTGTATGTAAACTTCTGGTGTCAACTGTATAGCAAGGCTTCATGAAACCCTGAAACAGTCGAAGCAAATGTGTCAAAGCTTCGAAACGTTTTGAAACTCCACTCTACGTTGACACCTAGTGGTCATTTTTTAATGTATTGCACTGAAACAGTTTCAGCAAAGAACAGTTGAGCAAATTGAGGTATTAAACCCCACTTTGCAGGCCTCAACATTCAATTGATTAGGTGGAGTGGTTAGGATTTTTGACTACCATGCTGGGATAGTGGGTTCGATTCCAGGTTGATACAGCTATTTTATACCAGTTGGTAATGCTTTGTTCTTGTATGGTTTTGTTTCAACATTGGTCTGACATACGAATAAACACTGTGAAAAATTTGTCTTGTTTTGGTCATGAAACAGGGTTGTTGCTAGATCAGACACATTTGTGGCGAGAAGTTCACAAGAATTATTTCTATTATTCATTAAATTTCCCATTTATTGTATTTTATTAACATCTACCCAAACCCTAAACCCAACCATCAGAGTACTGTAAAAATATTATTTATTGTTTTACAGTGTTACAAAAATTAGACAACACCATAAAACAGAAACATGATTAAAACACATAAAACCATGATTTTGAAGTATTTGTACAAGTCGGGATTCGAACCCAAAAGTCGTTTGATGCAAAGTAACAGCGTGCACACGCACAGTCCACTAGGCCAAACTATACAGAAGATTCATTTGACCCTGGTAGTCAAATGCAGATTCGCCAGGTCTCGAAACGCTTCTGAACTGATCAATGCTTTGAATCGCTTTAGTCAAGTGACCAGGGGCCTCATGTACAAAAACTTGCGTGGAAATCATACTAAAACATTGCGTACGCACAAAGCTGTAAATGTGCGTACGTAGAAAAAAATTCAGATGTTTAAAACACTGCGTATGCCGAATCTCACGCATATTTTTTTGTACATCTGAATGAACGTGAAACTGAGCGCAACATGCACGAGCGCAAAACTCCTCCCTGCCTCCTCCCCCGTATGAATATGCTAATGACTATGCTAATGGCAAAACTCAACGAAAAAGCAATGACAAAATCAAGCAAAAAGAGAAACTTTGAACAAAATGTGAATTGTAGGTGCTGCTTTCAGAGGTAGACCGGAGAAAAGCGGTGTTATTTGCAAGTTTGTCCTCCGGAATTAACAACAAAAGAAAAAAATAGAGTGGGAGAGTTAAGCTGATGCGGTTAACACAGTTGGGTCTGAACATCGCACTGAGTTAATCAAAAAAAGAAATAGTGAGATTTATAGGTGAAAAATGTTGCAGTTCTACTAATAGTCTCAGTGGCGCAGCTCGTAAGACGCATAGCAACTTGTTTTGACACGTTCGAGCATGAACTCGGTTCGAATCCAGCGTCTGATGAACTCTTTCTTCTTTTTTCCCCCACTACATATAAGATTTTGCCAACTATTTATCACGAGAAAGACAAGTAGGAATCATTAATAAGTTTGTGCATCATATTTTATTTGCACATTTATTGAATGGAAATGTTTCTGATTCACGCATGCAAATTCATCTTCAGATAGTGTCTTAATAGCAATGTGTGTGCAGTAGATAGCTCAGATTACATTGGGAAAACTGGCGACCGCTGCAAATTGTGCTTTAATGTTTGGCTGGTCAACTGTATGTTGTGGAAACCTTATATACCTGCTAGATGAACCCGTCTCATACAGCTGCCATTGCAAGTCTCAGACACTTTGTAGAGAGGAATTTAACACAACTGCCTCTAGGAGTCGCCAATGGAAATAAAACAGACACGCACAAAAAAAATGTGCGTACGCCAGCCAAAAAGCTGGCGTGGAGCTGCGCACATTCCCACGTTAAGTTCATCGTTAGTAAATCCAAACGTGAGCAATTTTGAGCATGAAATTTGGCGTACGCAAAGTTTTTGTGTTGATACATGAGGCCTCTGGTGTTTTTAAAACACTTTAGTCATGTGACTTGGGTGTTTTGGATCATGCTTCAGTGCAGTGTTTCGAAACACTTGCGCTTCAGGATCTGGACACTGTGTCAAAACGTCAGTTTCACTTCAGCCATCCCTAACTGTATATGTGCTGTGTATTTGTTTGTGATGAGACCATGTTCCACAGAGTGGATAATAACTTAAGTGGTAGCACTTTTGAATAATGGTCCATTAGTTAATATTAGTTAATGCATTTATTATTATAAACTAAGCATAAATAATCATGTGAAGCATTTTGAATCATAGTTCAACATTTACTAAGGCATTATTGACACCCACAGTTGTGCTTGTTAGTATTAACTAATGCACTGTGAGTTAACATGAACTAACATTATTTAACTTAATAATAACACAGGTGAATAATACTATAATAAATGTATTGCTAATTGTTTGTTCATGTTAGTAAATAAATTACTTTATGAGTCGTTATTTAAAAGTGTTACCAATTACGCAAAGTATGTTATTAATGGCTGAAAACTCACTGGTGGTGTTGGTGAGCCGAAAGGTGACGGAGCTGTCTGGAATACCACACACGTTGCGTACGGACACTAGACAAGTGTAATCAGAAAAATCCTTGGGCCGGAGATTCTTTAGTTTCAGCACCTTCGTCTCCCCCTGAAAACATACACATAGTAAACATACAGTTGAAACCAGAAGTTTACATACACTCTTAAAAAGAAACATAAGCATTTTTAAAGGTAAATCATACGAAATGTTTACTATTTTAGGTCTGTTAGGATTACCTAAATGATTTACATTTACTAAATGACAGAATAATGAGAGATTTTTTTTTTGTAATTTTTTTTATTATTTAGACAGTCAAAAGTTTACAGACATTTCCTTGTTATTTTTTTAGCTTTGCTTATAAACTGTATAACTTTGGTCAAATGTTTCGGGTATCCTTCCACAAGCTTTTTGCCCATTCCTCCAGACAGAATTGGTGTAACTGAGTCAGATTTGTTGACTGTCTTTGCTCGCACAAGCTTTTTCAACTCTGCCCACACATTTTCTATAGGATTATGATCAGGGCTTTGTGATGGCCACTCCAAAACCTTCACTCTGCTGTCCTTAAAGCACATTTTAACTAATTTGGCAGTATGCTTAGGGTCATGGTCTGTTTGGAAGACCCATTTGTGGCCAAGATTTAATTTCCTGGCTGATATCTTGAGAGTTGCTTCACTATTTTTACATAATGTTCTTTCTTCATGATGCCATCTACTGTATGCTGTGAAGTGGACCGGTCCCTCCTGCAGCAAAACAGCCCCACAACATTATACTGCCACCCCCATACTTCACAGTTGGGATGGTGTTCCTAGTCTTGTAAGCTTTCCCCTTTGTCCTCCAAATGTAACACTGGTCATTATGGCCAAACAGTTCAATCTTAGTTCCATCAGCGCACAGGAAATGTCTCCAAAAATTAGTCTTTTTCCCAGTGTAATTTAGCAAATTGTAATTTGGCTTTTTTGTTGATTCAGGCTTGTTGATTTTCCCATGTTGTCACACAAGGAAGCAGTGTGTTTGAGCTTTTCTTTAAATACTATTCTACAGTTGTGCCTCACATTAACTCAAATGTTGTCAATTAGCCAATCAGAAACTTCCAAAACCTTGACACCATCATCTGAGCTTTTTCAGAGGCATAATGATCTTATTGTATGTAAACTTGACTTTCAAGAAAAGTTATAACAATTTCTAAAAAAAAAAAAATGATAAAAAAAAATAATAATATATATATATATATATATATATATATATATATATATATATATATATATATATATATATATATATATATATATATATATATATATATATATATCATTATTCTGCTATTAAGCATAACAGAAACAAATTTGATAATCCTAACTAATATAAAAGAGAAAAAAGTTTAGTCACATTAACATTTGACTTTTTTTTAAATGGTTATGTGCCTTTTTATTCAGTGTATGTAAACTTCTGGTTTCAACTGTTTATCACACTAAAGACATGTCTTCTGTTTGACAGAGCAGGCATTTAAACATAATGAAAACCACATGACATTTGCCAATCATCCTCCAATTATCTGTTAAAGCATCGCAATTTTAGGAGAGTCAGTCCACACACACGCACGCACACACACAAGACAATAATTTTGGCAGTTCCTCTTTATTTCAACACTCCTAAAACTTTCCAATGCAATGTGTGTGTGTGTGGCTAAATAATGTGGCTATAGTTGGTATCCTGTTAATCCTGTCAGTAATAATTAATTTGGACACAAATGGGCCACAAAAGGTTTCCTGGGAACATCACTTATATTTCAGTGCGATGTCGGAGGCTTTGTGTGCGTGATAAAGAGAGAATAAAATCCGGATTTATAAATTTCTCTAATTCTTTTGACTGAGTCCATCAGGCAAATGAATAATCCTCATTATTAACAGCAAAGCCATCAATCTCCATCCATCCCACCTTCCTCAAACGGCTCTTTAATAATAAGTGCTCAGATTATGAATTCATCACTGATGGATTGCTGATTTATTGAGTGCGTTTCCCTGTGATTGGCCAGGCCCCCTGTGGTTATTCGCTATTCAAATGATTATCAACTTTAATTAATCTAACTTTCTGTTTTAGGGAATAAAAAGCCTATACTGAGGAATTTTTGCATACTGCCCAGCTGTGTGTGGACGTGGGTGGATTTACTACAAAATTGTTTCCAAAAGTTTGTAAATTTGACAAACTTTGCAACAAACACAAGGAGAAAGGGAAAGAAAAGAAAAGAAAAGAAAAGAAAAGAAAAGAAAGACTATTCTTGGGCTTTGGAATAATCTGTTTTCCTTACAAGTCTACAAAGCCTATAGATATAAAGAAAGGAATAAAAAAAAACATAAATGAAAACACCATAATACACCTAAAATAATATTTATTATTATTATTTATTTTAAAATACTATAACTAATAATAATAATGCTAATACTACTACTACTACTACTAATAATAATAATAATAATAATAATAATAATAATCACTTGCCTAAAACAATAATAAACCTACTAAATTGTGTAACAAAATAATAATTATAGAAATATATTTGAAATATTATACTTTATAATATATATTATATAATATTATAGTAATATAAACCAATAATATATACACACACACACACACACACATATCTATCTATCTATCTATCTATCTATCTATCTATCTATCTATCTATCTATCTATCTATCTATCTATCTATCTATCTATCTATCTATCTATCTATCTATCTATATATATATATATATGTTTGTTACTATTATTAATAATAACAATACTACTACTACTACTAATAATAATAATAATAATAATAATAATAATAAATTAATTAATTAATAAACACATTTTAAACCTATTAAAAATTGCAATAAACAAACAATTATAGAAATATTACAATATGAAAAATAATACAAAATTTATATTAATTATATTAACAATACCAAATAAATAAATATACTACATTTATAATAACAATATTAACATTGATTCATTATTACTATTATTATTATTATTATTATTATTATTATTATTATTATTAATCCTAATGGTCATATTACTACTACTACCACTACTACTAACAACAACAAAAATGATAAGAATAAATAAATAAATAAATAAATAAATAACTTGCCAAACAACAAATGTTAAACCTACTAAATATTGTAATAAATAAATTATTATAGAAATATTACAATATAGAAAAATAATACAATATTTATATTTATTACATTATGAATGATTAATAAACAAATAACTAAATAAATCAAAAAATATATTATTATTCATTCACTTATTCATTTTCTATTTGGCTTGGTCCTTTTATTAATCTGGGGTCGCCACAGCGGAATGAACCGCTATTATTATTATTATTATTATTATTATTATTATTATTATTATTATTATTATTATATAAGGATGATGATGATGATGATGGTGATTCTGTATGCTTCAGGTGTAAAGTTAGGGTCTAAAAGACATAACCATCTTCATATATAACCATCATAAATCATGACACAAAGACAAATTTGTATGTTGTACCTGTGTGTACAGAGGCTCATAGATGTCCACGCCGTTGTCTTTGCTCTGTTCGATTGGATTGTTTGCTCGTTGCCAGATGAAGCGAGCAGGAGGGTTGGAGTTCACTGTACAGCGTAAAAACACTGTTTTTTCCTGATAGTAGTTTCCTCTTACATCACCAACCGTCTGGTGCACCGTGAGCACAGGCTTATCCAGATCTGCAGGACACAAAAAGAAAGGAAAAAGAGAATTGACTTACACTGGAAAATGTAGTCTTTTTAATGGAGCAATCTGAGAGGTAAATGCTCTCTGAACTCACAATTATCTTGATCTCATGGTCACTAACAAGATGGCTATTTCCAGTGTTCTGCAGGTGGAGATTACAGTACCTTCACCACATTATCTGCACCATTACAGTGAGATCTGAACGACTGCTTTGCCAACTCATAGTCAAATTCTGAGAATCGATGCGTCCACTAAAGAACTAATGAACTAATACTTTCGCACAAAATTGAAAACTGAATACCAGATTGATGCATTGCTGTTACGTCCCAGGACGTATTTGTTTCTGTTTTGTATTTTCTTTCTCTCCTTCTCTGCTTCACCCTAATAGGTGATGATGAACGTCACCTGCTGCCACTAATGACCCATTCAGTGATTTGAGGACGAGTAAAGTCGTGGGCATTTAAGCAGCTTGTCTCCAATGGAACAGTGGTGTTTTTGTGTGTGTGTGGAGGCTCTTTTTGAGACTTTAAAAATATGCTTTGTTTAATCCTTTAAGCATTATTTGTTGATTAGGAGCTTTAATTTGTTTAAGTTCTGTTGATTCTGTTGACCACCTCATACAGCCTTTGTTTTAACCTCTTTTTGATTGTAAGTTTATGTTTTCAATACTAATTTGTTAAACACTCTTTACTCTTTGTTAATCAGGGATTGGGTTAGTAGAGAGGGGGTGCCATTTTTCTTTTTGTAACAGTTTTCTGTAAATAAAGCAACATCCCCATCGTACATGCTCAAGAGAACAATTCTATCACTTAAAGTTAAAGTCAAAATGATTCGCCTTCCGGTAACTTTTTAAAAATATTTCCCAAATAATGTTTAGCAGAGCAAAGAATTTTTCACAGCATTTCCTATAATATTTTTTTCTTCTGGAGAAAGTCTCATTTGTTTTAAAACAGCAGATGTTATTTTTTTAACAAAGTTTTTTTAACAAAGTTTTTTTGGTTCAATATTATTAGCCCACTTAAGCATTATTTTTCCAATGAATACAGAGCATACCACTGTTATACAATTGCTCAATTACCCTACCTTGATTAGTTAACCTAATAACCCTAGTTAAGCCTTTAATTTGCGCCCTAGGTGTCTTAAATATACTGTCATCATGGCAAAGATAAAATAAATTGTTTATTAAAAATTTGTTATTAAAACTGTTTAGAAATGAGTTGAAAAAAATCTCTCTGAAAATAGAAATTGAGAAAAAATATTAAATAATTAACATTTTATTTTATTTTAATTTATATTTTAATGTATTTATTTATTGTTTTAATTGTATTCATTTATTCACTTTTATTTTTATTATTATTATTTTATTTTTATTTTTTTGCAACAATAGAAAACGTTGTAGCTTAGATTATGTACATAGCAATACTGCTGTGTTTTCTTGTGTTTGGATGTCTGATGTTTCAGGTATTTAACTGAATCATTCTCATGACAGACTGATTCTGGAATTTCAGAACAACATTGTTTGTTTGTTTCTATTGCAGTGTATTTGCATGTCTTCTTAATATATTAAAATATATTACCTTTGTACAAATCATCCAAAAAAAAAAAATTCCCTAGTTAATTATTTGTTTTAACAATGCTGGTGGGGTGTTGAGATGGTATAGTTTAAACTTTATACAGGAACATTTAAAGTGGATCAAAACATTTTTTTTTTAAGAAAAGCCAAGAGTGGGTGTATATCAATAGATTTAGGACAACATTGACCAATGGTTTTCGTCCATTTTAAATGTTGACTGCTGTAGTTATTGCTATAGCTGTTGTCCTTGATGTGAGTGTGGCTTTAGAAAAAATACTGAACAGAAGATTTGGCACATACACTATAGCATGCATGGCATTTTTGAACTACTTTTAGTGCTTTATTTTGGATGCGGATACTAGAAGCATGTCACTGCATATCGTACTGTGTATTAGACAAATACAATTTGAATTTGAGTTTTAATAAATATCAGTTACTTTCATTTTATAGATATAAAATCAATACAGTTAAAGTTAAAATTATTTCCCAGATTGGGCCCGATTTCCGATCATGTGATTGGATGTGGTCATCTATAGTAATTGTAATAGTTTAATAACATATACAATATTTTTGGAAATCACCAAGCGACCCCCCATCACCCCCCCCCCCCCCCCCCCCCCATTGTCTCCCGACCCCACTTAGGGAACCACTATTTTACACAATAATTAAATTAAATATATGACATGAAAATAAGCAGATAATACCAACACAAAAAAAAATAATAATTGTTAGCTGTTAAGAGCTACTCAGAGCACACCTCCTGTGAATTTTCATTTTAAAATATTTCCCAAACAATGTTTAAGAGAGCAAGGAATTTTTCACAGTATTTCCTATAATAATAAGTAATTTTTTATTTTTTTTAGGGTGATGCAGTGGCACAGTGGGTAGCACGTTCGCCTCACATCAAGAAGGTCGCTGGTTGGAGCCTCGGCTCAGTTGGCGTTTCTGTGTGGAGTTTGCATGTTCTCCCTGCCTTTGCATGGGTTTCCTCCGGGTGCTCCGGTTTCCCCCACAGTCCAAAGACATGTGGTACAGGTGAATTGAGTAGGCTAAATTGTCCGTAGTGTGTGTGTGTGTGTGTGTGTGTGTGTGTGTGTGTGTGTGTGTGTGTGTGTGTGTGAATGAGTGTGTGTGGATGTTTCCCAGACATGGGATGCGGCTGGAAAGGCATCTGCTGCGTAAAAACTTGCTGGATAAGTTGGTGGTTCATTCCGCTGTGGCGACCCCGGATTAATTAAGGGACTAAGCTGACAAGAAAATGAATTAATGAATTTTTTTTTTTTTATTTCAATATATATTTCAATGTCAATATTATTAGCCCCCTTAAGCTATTTGTTTTTTATTTGTTAACAGGAACAAACCACTGTTATACAAAGACTTGCCTAATTACCCTTAATTGCCTAATTAAGCTAGTTAAACCTTTATACTCTTAAAGCTGGATACTAGTATCTTGAAAAAATATCTAGTAAAATAATATGTACTGTCATCATGGCAAAGATTAAATAAATTTAGAAAAAGCTACTGTAAATGGGATATTAAATATATTATGCTTAGAAATGTGTTAAAACAAATCTTCTCACTGTTTAACAGAAATTGAGGTGAAAAAATATACAGGAGGGCTTATAATGCAGGCTAATGATTCAGACTTTAACTGTATTTCATGTGTTTTAAACCAGGGGTTCCCAAACTTTTCAGCCTGCGACCCCCAAAATAACACTTCCAGTGACTCACAACACCCACTATCCTCGGAGGGGGTTATAAACATACAAACATTACACACAATGGTGCACACACACACCAATAGGATATTAAACAAGCTTACTGACAACACAAACAAAGTAACAGTCTAACAACCTTATGTTTTTATAGTCATTATTAATTTGTTTAATTTAATATTAACCTCACTAAAGAGAATAATGGACACAATGTTTACAGCACAAGACAATTCTTGGTTTAACTTTGGAGACTGCCACTTGGAGATCGCTCCTTTATGTTCAGTCGTGGCACTTATTTTTAATGTACGTGAGTGCAGTAAAGGTGTCAAAGTTTAACATTGTGCTGTTAAGTCAGTCTGCTGCAACTAACACTATTGCTGTTTCAAAAAAGAGGTCTAACTCTATACATTTACAAATATACATGTGTTAAAAAATATAAATATATATGTATGTCCTGAGTAGGAGGTAACATCAGCTTCTGATCAAGTCTGAAATTGCGTGACTGTGCCCGATTTCCAATCACGTGATTAGATCGGGTCATCCCTAGTAATTCTAATAGTTTAATAACATATACAATATTTTCGGAAATCAACCCCCCCCCAACCCCCACCCACCCCTTTATTGTCTCCCGACCACACTTTGGGATCCACTATTTTACACAATAATTAAATTAAATATATGACATGAAAATCAGCAGATAATACCAAAAAAATTTTAAATAAATACATTGAATACAAATCGGAGAGAAGCATAGGCTGTTAAGAGCTACTCAGAGCACAAACACACACACAGGATACAGAGGTGAAGGTTAAATCTATGTGGCTGTGTAACACAGTCTGAACTCTGACCTCACCCTGCTCGGTCAATAAAGAGGAATCTGTCTAATAGACTCCTCACACACAGTCCAGTGTGTGTGTGAGCATGTGCCTTGTTTACTTCATGTTTTGTGGACCAAAATAATATGCCCACAAGTATAGCAATACCAGTCAATTTTAACATTGCAGGGGTTATTTTTCTTCTAAGGATTTTTTTTTTCTTTTTTTTTTTTTGGTCATAAATCACACAAAATAATGTACTTTGAAAAAGTGAAAATGCAGATTGTTTCCTGTGAATGTTGGTTTTAGAGGTAGAGATATTTTTTTCCTACTATGGAAGTCAATGGTTACAGATTTTCATTCAACACTGCAAAAAAAGCTTTTCTTACCTCGGTTTTCTGTCTTCTCGTCCAAATATCTACAAATTCTTATATAAAAAAGCCTTTTCTAGACACGCAAACCATATTGTCTTGTTTTCAGAAATAATATGTCAAAATTAAGTGAGTTTTTCCTTTAAACAAGCAAAATAATCTGCCAATAGGGTTGTAATGTGAAGTGGACGCTGACAAGGGGGGGTGCGAATCCAAATTCATGGTTTATTAGCAGGATGAACAGGCAAGCAATAGTCAACACAGGAGCAAACAGATGTAAACGGGCAATCCACAGTGGTGGTCAATAAACAGGCAGATGGACAAAAGGCAGGCAGCAGACAATCTAAAAAAACAAAAAAAAAAACAAAGCAAGGTTCAAACACAGAGGCCAAGGAACACACATTGTAATGTTCACAGTTCAGTATAACAAGACTCAGAAGTGTGTGTGTGTGCTGTATAAATAGTCAGAGTAATCAGTACATGAGTAGCTTCAGCTGTGCCTGTCTGCAATAATAGGGA